GCTCCGCCAACATCCCGCCGCCGCCGCCGCCCGGAGAGGGCCTCGCTCGAGCTCTCGCGAGATGAGCAGTGGGGTCCTGGAGCTGGGGACTCGGTCCTGGCTCCCACACTCTGCCGGCGCAAACCCGAGGCGGCCCCTGTGACCGCGGCGCTGGACGGTGGCGAAGGCAGGCCCTGTGCCTTCCTCAGCACCCAGCCCCCGGGGAGAGACAGGAGACGGTGAGGCGCAGGGCCCCCCCTTTGCTTCCTCAGAAGCTTCTTTCCATTGTAATGCACAGTTAGATGAACGTTAATAATTGCACAATAATAGCTGTATGTTGGGAGTACAGAGCACCACTCAAGCGCGACTTTCTTGTCCTTCTTTTTTACAACCCGGGAAAACGAAACACACTCTTCCCCTAAATGGGTAGGAGCTCTGGAATGAGTGCAGTGGAAAAGAGTCGTAAGCCACTCACTCCGCACGCATTTGGAGAAATTAATTGCCCCCAGACAAGTGGGCGGAATGCCGCCCCGGCAAGAAAGGGTATAAATGAATCTCAACTGCGCGGTGTGGTGGGTGTCGTGAAGAAACAAATAGGAAACCAAAATAAGAAAGAAATGGTTTGCAAAGGCCTATTTAAAGTTGAAATTTAAACTGCAAGCTATTGCATGAGAAGTCAGTCTTGCAAAGTGTACATGAATGAGTTTAGGGCTCGGGAGTGTTCCCAACAGGCGTGACAACACAGGAGGCAAAAACATCTTCTGGTGAACTGAAAGATCGGTGTGGATGGAATAATGGGGGGGAAGAAGAGGGAACCAGGAGTGTGAAAGGGGGTTGGATACTGGAGAGATTTAAGGGGGCAGTTAGGGAACTGAACATCCTTATAACCATAGTAAAACCTGATTTTAATTCTACTGTGTTCAGCCCCAAAGCCAGGCATACTTCCAGTTCAGAGCCTTCACATTTACTATTCTCTCCAACTGGAATGGTCTGTGGAGCTCACTCTCTCACCTCTCAAGACCTTTGCTCAACGTTCACTTATTCTCAATGAAGCCTTCTTAAAATTGTAATTACACGCACACTTTCCTGTCTCTCACCACTTCTTTACTTTTCTTCATGGCACTTATCTCTCTCCTTACTATAAATCCTTGCTTAATGTTGTCAATAGGTTCTTGGAAAGGTAACTATAAGTGAAATGACTATAATAAAACCATGTCCTCAAATGATGTCTTTTAATTCATGTCAGTAAAAAAAATTTCCTTTTCCTCATTAATGTTCTAACAAAATTATATTGAATGAAATGGACATTATTTGAGGGTCTGCTGTATATACTTTATTTCATGAGTGAAGGAATTTTTGAGGGCTGGTATATTAAGGGCTCTCAGTAAAAATGCCTGTAGTGGATGAAAAGGAAACCACTGAAGATGGTTATATGGAGAGTGACACAATATAATTTCTGTTTTTAAAAGCAAGCTGTAACTGCTGTAGAAAAAATGGATTAGATGAAGACCAGCGCAGAAGCATGGAGCTGCTGCTACAGTATCCAGGTGAGAAATGACCTGAGCTAAAAGTCATGGCACAGGAGAAGAGACTGTTTTGGACTCAAGGTGTGTTTTAGAAGTAGTTAGCAGCAAGTCTCATTCATATTATGGGCGTAAGAAGAGTTCACCCCCTCACCACTCAATCAAGGATGCTTCCGTTATCTACTTGAGTTATTGTGTGAACTGAGCTACAGTTATGGAGATGGAGGGAAACAGGAGCAAATAATTATTTGTTTCATTTTTGGAACCATATAGTTTGTAGTGTTTTTGTGATATCCAAGTACAAATAGAAAGTAAGTTGGATACTTAAGTTTGAAGCTTAGAAGAGTGGTCTGGGTGGGAAATACAGCTTGAAAATCCTGTGAAAAGAATTTGTGATCTATGAAGAAAATAGATTACCTTAGTAGACTATAGTCTCATCTTGAAATGGACAAAACTATGTTTATGGGATTTTAACCTAGGATGCATAAATTGACTTCAAGGATATTCACAAATCCTCTGAAATTTCTTTTTTTTTTTTTTTTTAAGATTATTTATGCATACAAGAACTGGGGTGGAGGCCAGAGGGGTGGGTTTGGGGTGGGGGAAGGGATTGAGAGGATTCACAAAGTGAATCTTCACAAAGTGGAGAACAGAACAGGCAGATTGACTGAAATACACTGCTGGGGGGTGGGGTGTCTTTGTCAGGAGAGGTCTGCCTTGCTATGTGGGTGAGCTCCTGGCCAGGGATGGAATTTGTGATGTGGAGGCTGCTGATAGCTTCATAGTGTCTGCAGGGAAGAATAAATAATCTACTGCCCGGAAAGTCAATGAAAAAAATTGAGGGATTGCAATACTAATGACTAATACTTAATGAGTTCTTAATACTTGGCACTATGCAAAGTACTTTATCCTAATTCTCTACCAACTTCAAAAACTAGATATTCTTGCTATACTGTATTTCCATTTTATGCACTTTAGTCACATAACAGCAGAGCTAGGTTTTAACCTAAACAATCTGATGGAGCTCATGGACGGCCAACTCACTGGACTTCTGCTGGACAGAGTCAGAGATCCATGGTGCAGTTTTATACCTGAACTGTCTGCTATAAATTGTACAATGCCCTATCCCACCTAAATATGTTGAAGTCCTACTACCAAATACCCCCAAATGTGATCTTATTTGGAAATAGGGCTATTATAGATATAATTAATTAAAATGAGGTCCTACTAGAGTTGATTGGGCCCCTAATTCAATATAATTCATGTCCTTAAAAGAAGATGGCCATGTGATGACAAAAACAGGGAGAAACCTGTGTAGACACAGGATTGGAGCTATGTATTGATAAGCCAAGAAATGTCGAAGATTGCCCTCAAACCACCAGAAATGGAAGAAGCAAGGAAGGTCTCCTCTACAGCCTTCAGAGGCTTCAGCGGCTTCAGCAGTTATACTGCTTTTATCTTTCTCCAGAACTGTAACAATAGGGTGCTGTCTTTGTTATTGCAACTCTCAGAAACTGATACACTGTCCTTTCTTGTACCCTTGATGCCAGATGATACAAGCAAATATGGAATCATTTGGCATGTGAGAAAAGGAGGCTGTCCTTTTCCTTCCAACTGGACCCTAAGTGCCATGGTCTCACAGACAGAGCACCCAAGTGACTGACTATGCAGCCTCAAATAGGCACCTCCCTGGCTCTGGCATCACCACTATTACATACTTTTGGAAGGATTTTCCAGTTAAATATTTAAGATCTTAATTCTGGCATCTGGTAGGGTTATGGCTAGCCATTTCCCAGAGCCTTCTCCACTCTTCCCACCTTCTTCTAGTTCAGTTTAGAAGTGGAACCTAAGAAAGCTACTTCAAGTGGGTGAAGTTCTATCTAAGCTAGGTTAGGTCTTTCAACTACAGCCAAGCTCATGCATCTAGAGAAGGAATTAAATCATCAGAAATTTACCTGCCTTATTTTATTTCAGGGGAGGTATCTTTTTCTGGATCATTAGTTGGGATCCCTCCAAGAGGCCACTAACTGTGCTGAGTGCCTGTGATGGGTATTTGAATTTTTTGGACTGCATAAGAAAAGTGCACTAGGCCTCAGTGGTGAGGTTTATAATCTGTCATTGCAGTGCTGACTTTTTAAAAAGATAATTATTTATGCATACAAGAACTGGGTACAGGCCAGAGGTGTGGGAGTGAGAGGATTCATTAGAGAAAGAATGGGGAATAGAACAGGCAGATCTAATGAAATACACTGCTTGGTGGGGGGCGGGCTAGGAGGGGAAGAAAGAGGGACTTAACTCTTGCTGCAGTGGCTGTAGTAGCTTCATAGTGCTGAGACTTAACCCCTTGCACTACTGGGGAGGCCCAGCAATGCTAATTTAGTTAGTTTGCATACTGTACACCATTGCAGTCAGGAAGACCTGTAACCTCAATATCCAGAAGTCTCAAATAACTGCAGGGAAATAGAAACTTCCCAGAGGATGAGATCAAGGAAACACTGCACCCAAATTTTCCATTACCCCCCCCCAACCTCTACATACCCCCTACCAACTCTGGAACCATTTTCTTATTCTATTCTAAAACCTGGCAAGTTTCTTAATAACCTCTGTCCTCAGTCAGCACTACAGTTTCCCACAGACTAATATTTTCTACACAGGACTGCCACTAGCCTATACAGTAGCACTGTGCAAGTTAGGCAAGAAGTGCCCTCTCCTGAGATGGCATAGCCACGTGCCAGACTCCATAGTGAGCTGAGTGCAATCATACAGCCTGGATTGCAGCCACCACCTGCCCTTGGGCTGGATATCCTCATACAGAACACAATGTACACGACCCTCCATGCTACTTGTGCAGTTGGGAGTGCGTCTCAACAAAGCCAGGGCTGTTCTACCATGACTCAGCCCTCTGGGGGTCCATACCCACTGCAATGGCTTCACTCATTTCATTATTGCTAAAGCCTATTGCCTTGCTCCACACAGGTACTTTAGAAGTCCTGGTGACCTCAAGTAAAGGTTACCTAGCATCTCAATATGCTCATCTATAAAATATGGGTAGTTATAGGATCTACTTCATGGGGGTATTATGAAAGGGTAAATGAGATCACCCATATAAAATACTTTGTATAGTACTGAGCAAAAGCTACTATTCCAACTCAAGTGTTTTACTCAATCAAGAGCAAATAAGATTC